CACGAGGAATCCGGATGTCGTCTCCTTCGGAATCGGCTTGGGGACGCTTGGGTGGATCAACGGGAGCCAGAAGCGCTGGGTTTGAGCAAGATCTGAAGTAGGGGGTGGTTTTCTCTATCGATCTATGTAAATATGGGTGAATCTGTGTTTGGATGCAGAAGTGTACTAGTCTTGGTTTGCTATGGCGCCGCGGCAACGCATCGCCAAGGCACCTGTCAAACAAAAAAGTTGGAAATAAAGAACGGCGTCAGGGTTTGCACAGTCCCACCGACTCACCCTCGGCTATTGAAACTATGTCTTGGTAATGGTATAAGATTAGTGAATCTGGAAGTAGCAAATGTGAAGAGAAAATCTGATTTCCTGTCGATATTATATATATATATATATATATATATAATATACATATATAAGGAAGACAAACGGGAAGGGAAAAAAACTTAAGCGCTAGAAATGGCATCATTAAAGCATACCAAGTTTCCCAAGTCTCAAAAGGAGGTATCTGAAGATCATGAAGAAAGCAAAGAGGCAAAACCACCACCACCACCACCACCACCACAACCACAACCACAACGATCCCAACCCCCTGACATGTGATGATAGCCATCACGCGGCGACTTCTTCCGTTCCCAGCGCGCGCTCCCGGCAGACGGGACATGAAAAATAATCGAGCTGCAAAGGGGCCTCCCCCTCCCTCCCTTGTGGAGTCGTAGCCGTGGAACCCCCGGCGTATCGGCTCGCCCCCACCCCACCGCGGCAGTGGCTTTTATACTTCGCCGCGCACTCCCCGCAGAGCGGACGATGACGACAAGGAAGCAACCCCACCCGCTGCGCGCGAACCCCGCATAACAGACAACTCGTGGAGGGCTCCTCGCCCGCAACGAGGCCCGTATTCGCCGACCCCCCACGAGGAGGGGCCTCGGGGCATTCGAAAAGATCATCCAACAACGACTTCCCCGCGGAGGGCAACCCCTTCGGCGACCCCGACGAATCCAAAGGAGAAGGGAAAAAAGGAGAAGCCCGGGGCAGGTCGCGGGAATCGTTTAAAACCCCTTCCAACGCGTCGGATAACCGATTTTGTAGAAAAACGAGGAGTTCGTAAAGGGAGTAGGTGAACCCCCCGCCGGCCGCTTCCCCCTCCGTTGTTTTGGATCGCCCTTCCACGGGGAGGCGACTCACCGACGGCGCCGACGCGATCACCTCCGGCCGCACCAATCCAGTCCGTCGATCCTGAATCAACCCTTTAAAGCAGGCGTACCCCCACGCCGTGAGAGTGGGAGGGCAGGAAAAGGGCGGAAATCCCGCAAAGGATGCCTCCTCGGCGGCGGACAGAAGAAATACCCGCGGTAAGGCGCGATACCCCCCCTCACCAGACGACGAAGCGGGCCGCCCGGCTTCGTCGACATCCCCAAACAAAAGGCGGACGGGCACCCGCACGAGAAACTCCACCCCCTCCATCTCCACCGGCTCGGAGGCCGCCGCGGCGATTCCAAGGAAGGGATACGCATTATAAAGATGATCCCGCGCGCGGGAAGAACCCCCTCCCCCACTACCTCCGCCGCCTGTCGTTTTGGTCGTGCGAAGAATCGGAATCTCCCCGACCGCGACGTCGTGCGCGGCGTCGTAGCGAAACAACCCATCCCCAAAACGCGAGAAATCCTGCAACACGCGGTAGATGAGCAGCCAACGGGGGGTTCGTCGTTGCAGCATATCGCGCAGATACGCGGGAGTGGAGCGGGAGTGGTGGAAGCGAAATCGATCCCCCGGAGTTCCGACCTCGCCGATCACGGGGGAAACCGGAAATCCATACGGGCTCGAGCCCCCGACCATCGGCGGCACCCGCTCGAAGTTTTCGATGAGCGCGGTGCGAACGAAATCGAGGAGATCGCGCCCCCCGCCTTCCACCACCGCCTCCCGCGCGCTCGGCAGGATCACCCCGCTGAGAGGATCGACGTAGAGCGCCTTTCGCGAGATCGCGTACCCGCCGAGGTGTTGTAGATCGATCAACGCGCGATACCGCCGCCAAGGCGCCGTGCCCGTTGCCGCGAGATCCACAAAAAGAATCACCGGGGTGTGGTAGACGACTTTTTCAAACCGATAAGGAAGAAGGCCGCGGATTTCGTAGTGGTGGCGGCATTGCGTGAAGCTGAAACCATCGCCGTAGGCCGCGCGAAACGCGCGAAGATCGGGATTCGGCAGCACCTTCAAATGCGTGAGATCGCGATGGAGGTACGACGTGCGCGGGGGCGGCGTTCCCCCGCTCTTCAACCCCACAGGCGATGACGACGGCGGCGGGAAGGAAGGGGTCTTCGCCAGAGGCGCGGTCGAACCACTCGTGGTGGGGGTAAACGCGTTGGAAAGTGGGGGAGAAGGGAAGGCAGAGGGGGCGACGGACGTGGAGGATCCCACCGTCGTTTCCATCTGGAAAGGAAGCCACACCCCCGATGGGGGCGGAACTCGCGTTTGGCGAAACCCCTCGACATTGCCTCCATGGCGAGGAGAAGCCTCTCCCCCTCCGCTTCCCCCTCCTCCTTTGGAAGGGTGCCCCTCACGGCGGTGGAGTTCCTCCCGGAGGAGAGCCGCGCATCGCCGGCTGCTCTCCGTTCGGCCGCGCTCCGCAAGATCGAGCGGGGTCTCCCCCAACGCATTTCGCCGGATCGGCGCGTGCAAAACGCTGATTAAATACCGCAGCATCCCCTCCTCCCCGTTTTGAACGCACAGGTGGACGGGGGTGTTCCCGCAACCCCCGCTGGGGGCGCCCACGTCCGCCATGAACTCCTCGCAAAGCATTCGCACCGTTTCGAAGTAGCGATTCTCGCCGAGCTGCAAGGAGGCGAGGTCGACCCGACGGCAGTTGCTGATGGCGGTATACAACAACGTGAAACGGGCGGTGGCGCTGGGGATGTTAATCCGATCGGGGTGTTGACGGAGCCATTGGCGGAGCTCCTCCACTTTCCCCTCCGCCGCGAGCCTGAATTCCATCAACTAAGAACGCTTGTTGTGTAACCCACGAACCTACTCCACATTCATACAGAAGAGGCTCCTGAACCCCGCCCTTTCAAGACACTTTTCGACGACTAATCGACGCGAAAGCGTGAGTTAAATATAATCAAACAAGGAATAAAAATGCTAAACTCCTTCACGCTCTGAATTTGATTGGTTCAAATTGAGTTCGAACGCAATGTATCGATTTTTTTTTCCTTCTATTAGAAAACGAAAAGTAGGAAAGCCCTTTAAGAACGAATTGCACCCTTTGTATATATTTTTACAGATGTATAATTGTCTAATTTAGTCCCTTCAGAACTTTAGACTGTCTGCAACTTTTAATTCTGAAAAAGATCCGCTTACTCTCAAGAGCTCCCTAACGTGGTCTAGTAAGCAACGAATAAGCTAAAAGAAAAAGGTTAATAGAGTAGAAGTGTCAGGCGTGGCGATTCTCGTGAATAGGTACCCCTTTCTCCTTCATATTTGCATTCGCAACGGTTATTTCCTCCTGTCAAGAGAAGCTCATCGTGAGTATTAAATACATTACAAAACTAATTATCATGGACCTTTCATTTTTGTTAGTTCCATCAGAATGTTTGAACATTCTATCATTCAAAATTCAGATCAATAAAGTCAATAAATATACAAAAAATAGAGACGACCACCCTTTTATCTATATATGTAAAGGAACTCACTTTTCTTTCTAATATAATCTCGATAAAAGAATTCCGTGTCAACCAAAACAAGTATGAACGATGAGAAAAATTAAATGAAACTGATGAATTGCAAATCTGATAAAATGACGTTCCCTTTAAGTCGCTGGTGGGGTTCATGTGCCTTCCTGTTTGTCTTTGTTTCGAGGAAGCGAAGGAAATCTCATGCCCATCACCAAATTCACCTCCAGAAGCAAAGGCCTCATTTTATCCACATGCTGACCATAGCTACTAGCCAAACTCCTATACAACCATTCACGGATAGCTGAACGAGATCGCCGCACCAGACACTCTATCGTCTTATCGCTTTGCTCCAAAGCAAGCCTTGGAAAGTTTCAGAGTTCTGTTAGATGTGGGGGAAAAGCATTATGTTAGCCGAGTCGTAATGGGGAATGTATTTATCCATATCGCACCCTAGAAAGGGTTCCCCTTTGGTGTCCTGAAATATGAGCCAAATAATCATTTTTTTTTTTTGAATGCATGTGTGCACACGTTTACAATGCGGCGACCTCTCTTTCTAGGCTCCCTATTTGTTGAAAGGCCCATTAGAACTTCCAAACCCCAGTTGTTCATCTGATTGACATCTACCCAGATGAATAGGATGTGCGTTGTGTGAACACCCATTAATCCGCAAAAGGAGGTGGATAAAGGTATTTAAAATGACGAACTCAGCTTCATATTTAGACGATTTAGCGAATAGAGCAGAAAATGGCTACTTATATGGGTCTTGAACCGCATTTCTTGTGCAATTCATATGATTTGATGACCGTGGCTTGATCCAATCGGTAATCATATATCTATGTGTGTCTATAACCTCATCATCTGCCAAAAATAACAAGAGCAATAGGATTCATCTTGCACACAAAGCAGCAGCCGGTGGATCTCATTTGTTGCACCTCAGAAACGAAACCTCTCACTCAAAAAAAATTCAACTTCGTCAACGCCTGCAATAGTTAAGACGGTAGCAAATCCCAATATTACGAACAAAATCCATCACCATTCCCGCTTCAACAGACGAACGCTAAGGCTTTTCCTTGAAGAAATACATATAAAAAATGGGCATATATGTATGTATCATGATTCCAGCATCCCTTTGCTTTCCGTATACCCAAGACTCACGGCGGATCCTTCGGGATTATTGTTGCCCACCCCACAACGAATTCCATCCACGCTGGGTGCTTCCCCAGAGCGTCGAGGCCGGCGATGCCGCCGCGGCCTCTCCCGATCCCCCTGGCAGCCGCCGGGCGGGCTCGGAGGCGCTCAGATGATCCCCCCCCGCCCGCTCCGTCATCGTCGAGCCCAGCGAGGCCATCGTCGACGTCGGTTTCGGGAAAATCGCGCTCGCGTTCGGCGGCGCGGTGAAAGTCCTCGCGAGCCCTGACGACGACGACGCCCCTGCCCGAGAGTCCGCCGTGGGCTGATAGAACGCGGAGGAGGCGATCCCCAAG